TCGAGTGAGTCGAATAAATTCGCGTAGTGAAGCTGGAACGAGTTCCCCAAGCGATAAGATTCGTATATCAAATGCCTGAGGGATACAATCGGTACCAATCGGTGATAAACCTTCATGAATTGATCAAAGTTTGTGGCAGAATTAAGGGGCGATAAACTATTACCTGGTGTTTTATCAAATATTTCGAATAAACGATAAAGGATCGATAATAAATGTGCTAAGCTTTGGTAATCTGACTCCGTTAAATTTTCGCGCGAAATTGATGGGAGAGACAATTTGAGAAATAATTTTCGAATATATTTGACTATGTACCGATTCATATAAGATATGGATTTGGAATTGTCATAGGTAATATGGCAGCCAGTTGAGATCATATTAATTAATCCCTAAAATAATTTTACAATATTAACTAATAACAGATGGGATCGATTAATGCAAAATAATTTTCTTTACCAATATCGGATCAGATCGATTAATACTTTATATCGATTATAGACCGATATCGTTAAATTGGCCGATCCGATGTATAAAAATGATGATTAAAAAATTGTTCGTGATTGTTAATATGAATCAGAGACGCGCATAGGTACCATTTGCACGGCCCGGATTTATTAAAATATATTATATATAATTTTTATATCTAATATTGGCGATTTAAAATAATTAGTTTTAAAATATACGGCCCAGTTTGGGTATTTAAAAAAAAAATTTTTAGACCCCTCCCGGGTATATTTAAAAAAATTAAAATAGGGCCTGGCCGGGTCTCTGATATGAATCATGTAAAAAAATTATTATAATATTTTAAAATTAGAATAGTCCATTTGTTTAATATTTATTTTATTGGTTTATTATATTAAAAATCGGATAGGCTGAAATTGGTGATTGGTCATCAATTTGATACAGGCAAAATCGGATTGGTTTATAAAAAGCATCGATATGAGTCGGAAAATCGCTCACCCATACTTTAGCGTAAATTTTTGGGTTCGATTTATATTTAAAACAAAGGGCGGGGATGGCGGGAGGCATGCGGGTATATAAAATTTAAAACCATGGGCGGTTGGCTAAAAATTTACCTATTTAGTATCCTTTTTTCAAAAATATAGTGTTATTTTGTATATATACAAATTTTGAATAGCGATAAAATATCTCTGAAAAATGACCATAATAAATATATCCAACAAAAATATAAGATCTGGAAAATGTTGCAACGTAATTTTTTTATATTAGAAGTATCAAAAATCTTTTAAATTCTGGGACCCAGGTTACGATATGTTCCGTTCTAGTTTTTTTTAAAAAGTTCAGTTTCCGTTTCCTCCCAATTCTTATATTATTGAAATCCGGAACGTTCTGAAACCTCCGGAAGATATTTCATATGATTTTTATAATTCTATTCCCATTTCTGCCCTAAAATATGGTATATTTTGGTTCCAGAACATTCCAAATCTTTGCTTAATTTATACCCTAAATATTTTAATTATTTAAATTATATCAAAAATTTTATAGTTAAATAGTACCTGGACCTCGATGTACAAGATATTGATACAACTCAATACTTCACTGTAAGAATAACGTGGCCTGTTGCGTTTTAATTTGGCCTCCAGCTTTTCCGGCAGAATTTTATAAATTGCATCGAATACCTCCGACACAACTTGATTGCGCGTAGCGACATAATTGAGAGCTGAAAATTCTTTAGTGTTTTGATTATTATTACTTAAACGCAAATCGTTCAAGTATTTTAAAGGCAGCATGGCAACACAGTCAAGCGCTCGAGCAGGGATTTGAGCGAAATCATGATCTGAAGGGTGTTCCAGAAAAGTCAAGGAATTGCTTTTCCTAATTTCGAAATGATTATCTAAGATCGATCCGCTATCAGAATCGTTGGTGGTAACGATTCCCCCGTCTTCTTCCGATTCGAGATTGCTTAAGACAAAACCGAAAAAATTTCCCAAAAACGTCAAAATTGTTTTACTTTTAAAACCTTTGGTATACTTCGTCAAAAATGGGTTCGAAATAATGGCAGAACTTTTAAAGGAATGAATGGATCGCAAACGATCAATGTACTCCTTCGATGGATGATAGGAAGGACCTCGGGATAGCAGTGATACAAATAATTCGTAATATGCCGGATAAATTATAAATCTAGTGGATAAGTCTGGGTCAATAAATAACTCCCAAAATGTATTTAAAAGATCGAAAGGTGGGTCAATATTCAAATTGACAATGAATCTTAAGAGACATAATAGACACCCGAAAACCGATTCGTAAATGTTTTTATAGATCGGATAATTTAAAATCGAGTTTATATTGACATTCAAATTGGTTATAGACTTCCTCAACCCTAGTACATTGATGAAAGTCGTATTGCATAACTTAGACTTGAACAGCGTGGTTAGACATCCAAGACATTCCGTGATCAAGGACGTCGCGTTTTCGTTGTTTATCACGTTTTTGCCAATTTTATTAGCGAATATGGACTCCAGGGTTAGGTTGATAAAATTTAAAATCCAGGATAAAGGAACGTTTTGATCCAGAAAGGCGTGGTCTGACAAGTAGCAACTAGCGAAATGTAGTCCCATATGAATTTGATAGCCTCTGTGTTTTGAGTTATATAGATGTGAGGATATATCTAAGCAATGTTTGATTCGCTCCCAAATGTGAACGGGGTTGTGATATTCGGGTCTGACAGGTAGATACCGATCTAAGAAGCGTAGAGATAATTTAGAGAGCAGGGACTGGAATGAATGACAAGCAACATAGTTTATAGGATTGAGAGTTGATTTGCATGCATTCAAATTGCAATTGTTATAGTTTAAAAAAATATTCTGGGAGGATAGATGACCACAAATTAACGAAAATAGAACCCAAAGATGGCCTTCTAATTCATTCATGCTTTTATGATTAAGTCTAGTCGATGGTTCATACAAATTTATTAGCATGGGTCTTTTGACGTCCCCAAAATTCGAAGTTGATATAGATTTATTTTGGAATAAAAGTGTCTCCACTAATTTAAACACCGCCGAAAATGAATTGAGAGATTTATTGATATCGATGTGTGATTCTGGTATGTTGGCAATGTTTTGGTTTAATAATGTATTTTTGATTTTGCTGGTAAAGGCATTCAAAAAATTGTTATCTAGTAGAATCATATTATAATCGAGCTGAAATTTTGAATCTTCTGTGTAGTATATAGAATTGATTACTAAATCATTAACAAATATGCTTTTGAGACAATCATTGATTAGTGGTGATATGTGGTTAAATATATCGGTTCGTTTTGTAATACTGAAACAAAATATTTTGGATATATATCTATTAAGGGCAGGTAATACGTTAATCATTATACATTCACATACTTCCTCATTTCTCTTATTTGTATCTTGAATACAGCACCTTAAAATTTTAAATGAACTAATAGCGAATTGCTTGATAAAATGATCTAACTCAACATAATTTGATAAAAAGTCAAGATGTTTAAAATTATAGTTATTAGATATTGTAAAACTCAGGGAATCAATATGGGAAGCCATTTTAAGAAGTATAGAAATCATTTTAAGTCCTATGTAACTGCGTTTATTAATAACTTTCACTAGATTTAAATTACTATCGGGAGCATAATCACTGCATATATTCATTATATTATTTGGCAAATAATTTTCCTTAAGACTATCTATTGTGCAATGTTTATAATTGGTATCCATTGATTGGTATATTATTCCCAAGTTTTTACCAACCCAATTATTAATTATAGCCAAAATTCCAATAAGTGAATGAATAGGTGGATATGAATGATAAATTGCTTCTATATTATTGTTGAGAAAATGTGTATTGCATTGAGGATTGAAATATAACTTTTCAAAAAATTTGTTAATTAAGTCTATATATTGATGACCAATCAATAAAAATGTATCATTAAATGCCAATATATCATTGATAAAGTGATTAAATATTTGAGACCAATAAATATATCCTGGAGGATTTGAATTATTAATCAACATTGTGGACTCATATATTGCATGTTTAGTAAGCAATCTATGATAAAATAATTAATAAAAACTATAAATTATTAACATTTCTAATATTTTTTCATAAAAAAGCCTAAATGGTATAAAATTATCTCAAGAAAAACATAAATATATCATAATTATACTTCAATAAAACCAGGTATTCATTAATTTTTGTTTCCAATGTCAAAGAAAACAGAAATTTTTTTTGATAACTATTATTTTTTATCATTAGTTTATGACTTTCACATTCATAATAAATTAATTTCTTATATATTTTCCAAATTGAAGTCCAAGATGGTTTTTTTAAATTTTCTATTATCAAATTATAGAAAATAAAATATTTATAAATACTTGAATTTTGATTTAAGCTGCCTATAATATATTTGCATTCTAAGCAATTTTTTAAATCTGTTAAGCATTTTCTCCTTACACTTAATTTAGAAATATCACATTTCATGCAAACCACCACAATATCCATGAAATTTAAAAAATTCGTCTGCAGTAAGTTTAATAAATATCCTCGAGAAAATAATATCTAATAAAATTCTTATAAAAAAATCAACCAAACTATATATTATATTTCTTTCTCCGTCAGCTAATTCATTACCTATTTTATGTACAGCAGGCAGGTATTCATAACAAAATTCTGAAAGAGCATAAATGAGAAAAAATGAAATGAAATCATATCAAATCTAAGATAAACAAAAAAAACATAACCTGCAAAAAAACAAATAGAAAAAGCAGATTCTACAAAAATGAAGTAAGTAGGGGCAATTTTAACCCGCATATCTTTCAGAAAGTTAGAGCGTGTTTCTAAGGACATAGTACCTTTATCTTATTATATAACATCAAATTTACTACTTCATAAAGCATCCATCAGTTATATCATTATACACTATAGCTCTATTATATATTTTATTTAATCCATTATATTATAAAAGAAGAAAAGAAATAACTTGGCATGTCATAATTCATTTATAAATGATTGACATATTTTGAATGCATATTATGTGATAATGCTATGAATTCCTTCATTACATCTGGGGTACAGAATTATATTTTATTCTAATTAAAACTATATATTTAGTTTGAACATATAAAATCAGATTATCTAAAAAAAAAGGCTGAGTTAGAGAAGTCAAAGAAGAACACAATATCTGTTAAATCTGGTGATGGATCATATGACGTTATTATAATAAAACCTAAAGTAAGTATATGTTATTTATGTAAAATAATATATTTTAAATTTTACAAGGATAAAGAAAAATTAAGAAATAAACTAAGGAACCGCGATGCCAATTACCGGGCTAGAAAAATCGATTCAGAGGATGAAGATGATGACAGATTATCTTTATCACAGTAATATTTTTGAATGATAATTAAATGTAACCCTCTATATAAATGACAGTTTTTAATTATATTAAATTCAATTTATTTGATAATTTTATTTTACAAAGTCAATCATAATTATATATATATCCATATAACTCATAATACATATTCTTGTACATAGGAAAAGGTTACAAATGAAAGCCAAGATATATGACAAATTGTCCAGTGCCCTTCCTAGTAAGTTATTTATATTATAAATTTATCAGTTAATAGAATAATTTAAAATAAAAAATTTAATTTTAGGTGATGAAATAAATGCCATTTATATGGTAGACTTTCAGAGAAAATATATTCATGACAAGGATGACACCAGGCCAGAGTAAATATATTTGATTTATTTATTTGTTCTCTATTTGTTTCTAATAAAATGTGAACTTTATTATTGACATATTTGACTATTATTGAACAATTTATTATACTTTTAACTGTTTTAAAATATTTTGTACTTCAGTTTATATATCTTCAACAAATCAATCTAAATACATCAATTAATCATCATACTGGGCTTTCAATTTGGAACGGTATAAATTGTTTTCTTAACCATTTTGGATAATTTCTACTTGTCCTTTCATTCTCTACTGCGAGTTGATCTGTCTATCGATTTCAATCTTTTTATTTATGATAATGGATAGTGTCTTTGGTTATTGAATCTTGTATAGAATCAGTGTCTTTGGTCATCTAGTCTTGTATAGGTTCAATGTCTTTTGCTATCGAGTTTTGTATAGGATCAATTTCATTCATTCGTGGTATAGTTTGCATCATTTCTCTTCTTCCTTCCTCTCTATTTTTTAAATTGGAATAATCGAACCTATATTTTAACTGATTAATATGTCTTCTCCATAAACCTAGTTTATTATCTGCTAGTCATTGGTCCTGTTCTTTTAACGATGATATCTAGTATTCAAATATCTTTTTTAAAATCTTTTGCATATATTTTCTCATTTATATTAAGAAAACCTGCTAACTGGGGTATGTATGGATAAGGATAAATTCGTTTTATTAATAGGGTCCTATGGGTTGAAATTTAAGCATAATTGAACTTGGTGATTGTTTTTTGGTTATTTGTGGCATATTTCGATAATTAAATAGAAAATCTCATATTTAAATAGAATCATGTTTTTTTTTAAAAAATTTAAAAGTTTGTACTAACTGCTCCGCTTCTTCATTGAAATTAGGATGGTACGGGGCACTATATACATTTATAATTGGTAATTGTTTACAAAAGTTCTAAACTTTGAAATGGGGAACCATTATCCATAACAATCATATTGGGGTAATCGAAAATAGCAAAAAGTTTTAACAATATTTTTCTTACTTCAGTAAAATTATTTGTCGACAGTTTTTGTATTTCGGTCCATTTACTAAAACTATCTATTATTACCAGATACATACATCTCCGTTAATTGTTCCGGCAAAATCTAAATGAATTCTTCTCCATGGTTTATTTGTGGAGGGCCATTTCCCTCTGATCGTTTTACCACCAGGATTATTTGTTTGACATAATTCACAATTCTTACCATGTCTTCGTTCATATTTGGCCACCAAACGTTCTCTTGGGCCAATAATTTTGTTTTATTATAACCCTGATGCCCCATATGTAAAAAAGATAAAATATTTACTTGTATTTTTTTGGAATTATGGTTCTTAATTCCCATAATATACACCGTGCCTCCAGCTTGAGTTCATTTCGACGCTGGAAAAACGGTTTTAGATTTTCCTCTATTAACTTCGGCCACCCAGTTGCAATGTAATGTGAAACCTTTGATAATACCGGGTCATTTCTTGTGTGTGATTTTATATCTAACGCTGAAAAAAATTGTGGATCATCCGATACTATTAAATTAATATCTAACTCTTCCCAAGCAGATGGTTTACCATCAATTGGGAAACGGGAAAACATATCCCCATTACTATTTTTTTTCTTCCCTCGAAGTTGCAATTCTTAATTTTACTAGTAGTAATGACCATCTTATACTAATCTTTATGACATATCTCTTATTCTTTTATGTGGATTAAGTACCTATATAAGTGGTATGATCAGTAATTATAGTAAAATGTTTACAAATTAAATATTGTATAAATTTAATTAATCCAAATATGTTTGCTAAAGCCTCAGGCTCTATCTGACTGTAATTTCGTTCGGCGGCATTTAATGTTCGAGAAGCGAATCCAATCGGGTTTTCCTCGTTATTAATGTTAGAACTGATCCTATTCCATGTTGAAACGCCATCTGTTATTAATTTTTTAAATTTATTAATTAATTTTATTTCATTATCTGTCCATTTCTATGGCATATTTTTGCTTAAAAGCGTATAACGGAGTAGCTATCGTCGAAAAATTGTTTATAAATTTTTGATAATAAGTAATTATACCGATAAAAGCTTGTAATTTTTTAACGTTTTTTGGTAACGGTGCGTCTAAAATTGCATTGGTATTCTTATTTGTTGTTGTGATTCCCTCTTCGCTAATGGTATGACCTAAGAATCAATCTTTTCTTTAAAAAAAATTACATTTTTTTTAGATTTAATATCATGCCATTTATTTCTAGCGTTTTTAATACATTTATCAGATTTTTTTTATTAATCTCAATTGATTCCCCAGTAATTATTGTATCGTCCAAATATACCGATACCCCGTAGTCCATTTAATAACGAATCCATTGCTTGTTGAAAAATGGCTGGCGCTGAGGCTACCCATAACGGAAGTCGTGTGAAGTGATACTATCCACTTGGCGTGTTGATTACTAAAAGCTTTTTTGCCACCTCATCTAGTCTATTTGAAAATACGATTCTGATAAATCTAATTACTGTATATGGATCCATTACCTTGTGTGGCTAATAATTCATTAATTATGGGTATAGGATATTTATCAATCAAAATATTTGCATTAACCGCCTGTCGGAAATCACCGCAAATTCGTAAGGATCCATCATTTTTTAGTACAGGCACGGCGAAGCGATATTAGAGTATTTAGTTTTTCTATAACTCCCATGGATTCCAGTCGTTGTAATTCCGTTTCTAGTTTTGTTTTGCACACAAAGGGTATCGGTCTGCTTTTAAGACATTGAAAGTTAAGGGTGGGTTACCGACAAACTCGTTATAAAATCTTTCAGTAAACCTAATTTCTTAGTAAATAATGATAAAATTTTTTTTCAATATTCCCCCCCCCCCCAAACCTCATTAACTATATTACATTGATTTATTATTATTAAATTTAATTTGTTTATTAAATTTCTACCTATCAAATTAATCATTGTTTACAATTATAAATTCATGATATATAATTTTATTCTTATAATTAATGGGTAATATTAGTGTTGTAAATGAACGCGTTCGTGAACGAAGTTCGTTTTTTTTGAAAAAAATGATGAACGGCTTTCCTTTTATTTTTGACGAACTTTGGACGTGAACGCGTTCCTTTTTTATGACGAACGCTTTCGAATTTAACGTTCGTTCAATTTTAAAAATATTTTTTTTTATTTATTTGAAAAATTTAATATTTCCGAATTTTTTTAAAAAATATATTATTTATATTTTTTAATCGGCTGTGTATTTCCTTTTCACATTTCAATTTTTAACAGTTTATTAATTTGAATATTATTGTTTATATTTTAATTTAATAGATTAGCATAAGCATGGATATTATTATTTAATCCTCATCATCTGATTCTGAAAATCCAAAATCAGATGAATTATCATTACTATGGCCAAATATGATAAATGTTTTACATTAACATCCTATATTGAAGGAACTAATCCAATGCTTACCAAGTGTAAAATGTGGCCAAAAAGTATTATATTGTCAAAATCTTCAGGTTCCAATTTAAAACAACATTTGATTTTAATATTAATTATTTGATTTTAATATTAATTATTTGATTTTATATGATATAACTAAGTTAAAAAATCATTAAATTTGAAGAAATAATGCATTTGGGATATTTGACCTCAACAATAACGAGTTATTTTAAAATTAAAAAATATAGTGGCCTCAAATATGGTCAACCATTAATAGACGTCGTATTAAATGGGATTAATAAAAGGTATTAAACCTATCGATCTCAATTGATTACATATATTTTATTTTTTGATTTGAAGAACATATATATATAAGGATCAATATGTTCTTTCTGCAATTATACATCCAGCGTTCAAACTTTAATGCCCATGGATAAAAATTCCACAGAACGAACCTATTAAAAATAAACTTATAGCGTTATTGAAAAAAATGCTTTGAAAACCCTAGAGAACTGTTAATTTCGAGATATCCTTTTTTTTGTCGAGAGTAGAAATGGATTGGTGGAGGATAACTAATCTCAATTTTTTACAAATAACAAAACAATATGTTTTTAATTAATTCTCCACGTTAAAAGAGCTGTTTATTAAGTATAATACCGCAATCCCCTCATCTGCCCCTGTAGAGCGTGTTTTTAGGCTAATGCCGTATTAACTGCCAAGTGTTCCTATCTATCAGATAAATATTTTGAAAACAATTGTAATTAAAATTTAATAAGAAAAATTTTTTATAAATAAAAATATCTTTTTATTCGCTATATTATATTATAGTTTATTTATAATTATATTATCAAAATAAAACTATATTATTTTTTAACATGGCTAAAATATATTGTATTAAAAAATATAAGTTTATTTATATTAAATTAAATTTTAAAAAAATTTATCATAAAATTTTGAACGATTTTATGAACGTGAACGCGTTCCTTTTTTTTGAACTTGAACGTGAACGCGTTCGATTTTTTTAGAAATGTTTACAGCACAATATACATTTACCTAAAAATATAGATCATTACATTAATATAAAATTTTAAAATAATATCCGTTTTTGTTACTGGTCTTTTTAAACGGTAAACGTCTTAAATATTCAAAATGGAGACTGCCGATCCTGTGTCAATTAAAAATCTAATATATATTTTATCTATTAATAATTTCATCTCAAATTTTTTTCGCGAACTCCTCTGAGTATCCCATTCCTCAAAACTATTTCGCTCCTTTTCTGTTACATCTATCGTTCGGATATATTCTTTTTTTTACCACCATTTCTTCTGCATATTTTCTGTAAATGTCCTTTTATTCCACAATTATGACAAATTGCATTTAAATTTGGGCACTTAGGTTTTATGTGGTTTTCTAATTCATAACAATAACAAATAATTTTTAATGCTGGTTTATACTTGTCATACTGCTCCCTTGTCACTGTTTTTGCAATTTTATTTATCTCCTTTCCAACAGATAATTTTTCATACGAAATCATTTCCGTTGTCTCCATTGAGGTAGCGATTTGAACAGATGACTGGAGTGTTGATTAATTTCATTAATATTTTTTCATTTGTAATTCCCGACACTAATTTATTCCTCAATACTGTATTATACATCTCTTTAGAATTACACGTATTTGCTTTTATCTTTAATTTATTTATATATTCTGATCGTTTCTCCTTTTTCTTGTTCTGTTTTGAAAAAATAATATCTTTCTTCGATTAATATTTTTTTAAAAGTTTAATTATATCATCATTTGATATTTCATCTAATGTCTTTGGTAAACACAAAGTAAATAATTTTGAATAAACCTCTAATCCTATATTTGCTATTAAAAACGATTTTTGACTTCTATTTTGGCGATTTTAAAATGAATTCCATCTTTGATAAATAAACTTCCATCTCGCACTCCTTTATATTAAATCTCCATTTAAAACTGCGCCAATGATATATTTGACTATTATTGACCAATTTACTATATTTTTAACTGTTAATATATTTTATACTTCAATTTATATATCTTTTACAAATCACTCTAAATACATCAATTAATAATCATACACAATTAACAATATATTTTAATACAATTAATCATATTATCAATTGCCTTTAAAGTTAATTGATTTTATTACAATTATAATTAAAACATTATTATATTTAATAATAGGTCAGAACCTCCAAAAGTTTACAATGATGATGAATTAAGGATTCCTTCAGAGGCTGTCCATTTCCAAGAAGTCTTTGGCGATGGTAATTTATTTAATATAAAATTTATGAGATTTTGGTTAGAATAAAATGCTATTATGTTATATCACGAGAATTTGAACTCTTATGGGTTTTCATCAAAATTCTTTATTTAATGAATTATCAAAATATATAATTTGTTACTTTTTTAAACTACTCAAAATAATATTCATTAAAGAATTATGAATTTTACATTTTAACAAAATTTTAAAACTATATATCAGAGATGTACTATATACTATTATTGATAGTATTGGTATAGGCAGGTACTTTTATTTTTTATTGATATTCAAGATAATAACTATCCTTATTCCTTATAAAAAATAAAAAATAGGCCTATTAATTTCAACGAGAAAAAATGTATTCTTAATTTTTTCTAAATTTTAAAAAAATTAGTGGTATATGGATGACACCTCTTGCATTGATTGCCCCCCTTCCATTTTATTAAATCTGTTTTAATCAAAATAATCATTTAATAGCTTTAAAACATAAAATCGTATATTTTTTTAAATTTTAATATTGGTAAATTTAAAAATAATAAATGTTATATTTAATTAACTCATGTTACAAATATGAATATTATATAACTTGTGTACTAAATTGGAATATGATTAAATATAGTTTAAGTTTTTATATTTTAGTGGTTTCAATAAAGATGATCTTAGCATTAAGTTTACATTTAATATTTTGTAAGTGGTTTCCAATTTATAGCATCCTGCCTGAAAGGTAATCTCTGTATTTCTAAGAAACAAAATTATAAATTTTTTAAATTGATTATAAAAATAAAAAAAGCGTTGTAAAAGTAAAACATTAGGCCCATCATACTGTTTATTCAATGCTTAATATTTTACTATTAATATATAACCATCATAAAAGCAATATTTATAATAAAGAAAGTGTTATTAATCTTACTTTTAAAATTTTGTTAAAGAATTAACCTTATTAAGAAAATAAATAAAATTTAAAGGTTATCGCTTTAATTAAAGACCAGAAATATTTTGGTGGAAATAAAAATGAAGAGTAGAAAGCAAAAAATATTTTCTCAAATATAAGTTTTTTTATAAAAATTTATAAGTTTTTTTATAAAAATTTATAGACAGAAATGATATTAATGTATTTCTAATAAGGTGTTGAAATAAATAAATTTTTATCATCAATTTATTTGATTTTATATTTATAGCACCAATGATATATTTATCTGCTAGATTGGGGATTCATTCATTAAATACATTTAAAAGCTTCCATACATAGGAGTCAGCTGTAGCACCATTTTGTGGTTTGCACGCCGATTAAACGACATAAATGTGCATTTATATGATGATAAATAAATAAGATAATTATCGATGTGCTTACCACGAAATGGCTTTACAGCTGACTTATATGTATGTAGAATCTAGCATACAGACATGTATACATCATTGTATACAAACAAATTAAATATTAAGATATTAAAATGAAAAACATATTTTTAGTCCAAATTTGGATTGGACTTGGCCCAAAAGAGGAAAACATCTTTTGGCAGTTGTCGAAGAAGCTTGTACACCAAAGAGTCTATTAAAGATTAGTATTATTTTTTATAAATACCTTTGGTAAAATATTTTATCAATATTTTTTCGGCTTTCTTCCCAAATTTAACTTATTATTAATCATTGACTTAATATGTTTGCTATCCGTTAATGTGTTTTTTCTACCCTCACTAGAATCATTTAGAGTGCAAAATGATTATTTCTAAAATATTTATTTCTACACTTTTTACCTCTAAATCATTAAGAATAGATTGAATGTATAACAAGCACTATATGCTAAAATATTTCCAAAATTAGAATTAATACTTAGTGTTCTTCATCATGTTTTATGATTATCAGTAACTAAGCATATCATTGTGCAATTAACATCATTTTTTATATTTTATGATGAAACCTATATTTACAAATTGTAAATTTAATTTTTTTAAATGTTTAAATTAAATATGAAGGTATCTCCCATTTATGAGTAAAATAAAGATATCATATAAGATTGTATTAAAATGGTATTCAAAAAACCCCAAGTTTAAAGCTTTAGTCTTATCAAATACTATCTTTTTTTAAAAAAAATTAAATCTATTTAAATTTTTAAAAAAAAATCAGATATTTTAACCAATCAAAAAAGGTATAATTTATTATTAAAGGAAAAATTGTTATTTTTTATTACCCACTAATTTTATTCACCAAAAAATATTTGTTTTAATTATATACATAAACTTTAAACAAATACAGAGGCTCGCGAATTGGGTGTTGGCTACTTCAAATTTAGCACTGATGAAGCTGAAAGACAAAAACAAATGGAGGAATTTGAGAGGATGGAAAAAGAACGGGAAGAGATCAGAGCTAATAATCCATTGCTGCAAGCTAAAATCAGGGAAACTTACAAAGACAAAATTATGGCCAAGTTGAGAAAGAAGGAGAGGCGTAAAATAACGGCGGAACTGATGGAAGAACTCATAGACCAAGAGCTCGAGAGGGAGAAAATGGAGAGAGAAAATATCAAAAGTAATTTTTTCTATAGCCAACTTCATAAGAGGATTATTATTTTAAAATACCAGTTAAATTAATATACATAAGAAGAAAAAAGTTTAATTTAAATCAGACCGTTTAATTTACCCACTCTACTTCATGATCCGTATGCATTATATATTAAGTCTACCTCTATGATAAAACAAATGCCACTTATTATAATGTTTTAAAATTACGAGATATTTATTTAATGGCATATCTATAGTATATATATATATGTTAACGGATGAATAATTTAATGTTTCATCATATAAATCGCTAATTTATAGCATTTTTTTTAAAAATATAAATTATATTTATATTTCATTATACAGAGAAAATGGAAGATGAGATGTTGGAGTACGAGGAATATAAAAAGAAACACCTAAGACCCTGGGATAAGTATAAATCAGAACATGGCGATGATCCAGACAAACTCCAAATACCTAAACCTAATTATATAAGTAATTTACCACTTTTTTAAACATTATTATTTTCCGAATTAGATAACAAAACTATATTATGTTGTTTATTTCGCTAACTAACATATAAAGTGAACCAGGAAAGATGGGTAGATAAACAAAGAGAAGAACGCAATCCAGATTTTGCACCCCCCTCCGATTTTTATTCTTCCAATTATTCGAAACACAGATATTTATCTGACAAACAATCATCATCAGGTGCCAATAACTCTCGTAAACATAACCTATCCAACTCTGACTCAGATTCTAGTTGTGAAACTTTAAATCGAAATAATAATGATAATAAACCTAAGCCCTTTAAAAATAAATTTCCCCAAGTTGGTGTTGGACTCGATAAATCTTCAAAGTTATCAAATAATTTTTCTACGAGTAATTTGAATAGTGATAAAGCTATCGGCCGCGAAGATGAATTTATTCAAAGTATCCTAAATCCTTTATTAGCACAGAACACGAAGCATTGATATTTAAATTGCATGTTGTTATTATTTAATCAGTTACAGATTTATTATATATCATAATGTCCCTTTGCGTAATATATACAATAAACTTGTAAAATACAAAATTATGTAACTTTATAAGACAATTTTAATACTTATTATTATAATCGATAAAATTTGAGTATTCTCTTGAATTACCAAGAAGAGCCGAGGCTGTGAGTCCTCGTTAAATAAAGGGTTTAATAAAAAGTTTTTTTCATGAATTAGGTTCTGGGTTTGGAATAGAGGTCCGCAATAGGCGGCTTTTAACACCTATCCATATAAATTTATTTAGCTTCCAAACCTGAAGGTTTAAAAATTAGTTGATTTGGTTCTATTTATTTTATATTTAAACATAAAAATTAGCTCTATTAAAAGATTCTCGTCATTTGCCCGAAAAACATTTCAAATTTATCCGCCCACACATCTTTTACAAATATCTTTAACCCGTCTGCCCGAGTTAAATTGTTTAATCTGTTCATTGCAAACTTCTAGTTTTGGGTACTTAAAAGTAAAGTACGTATTTAATTTAATTAGACAAATACTAGTTTTATATATTATCATAACAATTTTTTTTTAAAAAACAATTTTTATCTCTATTTTTAAAATTTATTTGAAAACGAATTATCATTATATCTTCCAAGATATCATTATTGAAGCCTTTAAATCTAAGAATATATATTTTTATAATTATTACACTAGGGCTGCATCAATATTTTGCCCGATATTTAAATGGCTTGGTTATAAGTATGTATATTTCGAAATTGGCACAAGAATAACAGATATTTTTTAATATTTTCCAGTTTAGAAATTTAATTTGTAGATAATTATAAAATATTAAAATTAAACAAATATAAAAATTATGATGTTCAATTCAAACATAAAATTTTTATAAAATATTTAAGTATATCTTAGAAAAACTATTTCTCTAGGCTATATAAGTTCTTAGCTTGGGCCATAAAATTTGGTTTGAACAACCATTAGGTACAATGTATGTTATAATATATTTAAAAAGATTCATTTAAATAAATAATGAACCTTTTATTGGGAAATATTTATAAATATTCCTGAAATCGTAATAATTCTTATATTCTTCAGTTTAGAAATCTTAACTTGATTATAATTATAAATAATTCTAAAATTAAATAAACCATAAATAATTTAAACAACATTTTTCAAAAATATTTTGGCACATATAGAAAAATATCAAAATACACATGAGCTTTGCATGTTTTTTTGACAATGATTGAATTTAACAGGATCTTAAGGTTTTCGATACTCAACACCAGCAGGGTAACCCATAGACATATATTAACCTAGATTTTAAACGCTTAAAAAAACAAAGTAATTAACTTTGATTAATAAGAAATCGAGGCCAAGGCGATAGTCAATTTCTATTTTAGACCTATCCCTAAGAGAAAATGAAGGCAATAAAGGATATCACATAATTTTCTATTTGTTTAAATTACGAGTCCCCAAATTCAGTAATAACCACAGCGCATATATTGGTGAAGAAATTCTTTTTTTAAACATGCAACAATTCCAACGCTGACAAGTCAACTACATTTTAGCAAAACCTGGCGAAGAATACATCAACATCGAAGCAATTTGGACTGAAGTAAATTTCGCTGACCCCTTAAAGCTAATAAGGAAATTCGAGCTATTACTTACAACCGACTAAGGTGACAAATTCCAAGACGGCTGAATTCTATGATGTCCAAAAGATGGAGGAAACTTGCACGAATTGGGTGGCCCGCGCACTTTAGGATGCCTAAATGATTATCAAGTGGATGTTAAACTTAAAGGTTTTTAGCACATTTTTTTATCATGTGTATTTTTCGAATTGGGAAAGGTATGAACTTGATAATTGGTCAAAAGATGGTATTGTGCCTATCAAGTATAGTGATTGGATCCAATCCGTTGTTTCCAATAAAAAAAATCGAATGGAAGATTAAGATTGTGCTCCAACTTTATATAAAGCTAATCCATGGGTTGTAGAGATTAAGTACCCTCTTCTCCGAATTGAGAAAATTTCGGTCCATTTAAAGGGTGGTAAATATTTTTATAAGTAGATTTTTCGTTGACGAATTTACAGTTGCCTTTAAGGGAGGACATTGGTAAATTTGTCAGCGTCTATTTTCAAAGTAACATGGTATCTATGTCCAAAGTTTGAAGGGCGTTTTTTATTATATGGAAGATGTATTAACTATGTGAGTGAGGCCGACAATCTAACTATTGAAGAAGGTAAGTAACCGCCCTATGGCAACTATTGAAAAACAATCTATAAAATTATTCACGAGAACTATTCACTCTTTAATTACTTTAGTATTTAGCAATAAAATATATATTTTCCACAACAAAAGAAATAAAAATTATTTTCACAAAATAAAACTAAAAACAAATACGAAAAATAAATACAATATTCTTTATTTTTTTCTTCAAAAACCATGAAAACATATATAAATTTCAACCTTATACAACAAAAAATAATTTAGAAAATAGGAAATAATTTTAAAGAAAATAATATAATATACAAGATACTACAATAACTATATCATCTTGAAGAAGCTTTTAAGAAGATTCTTGAGAAGGGTGTTAGAGTGAGTCTAGATAAAAATGTTATAGGGGTACCTAAATTGTGTTAGGTCATAAAATAATGTATTTGAGATGGGTCCTCTAGAGAAAAATTTTAAAAATATAAAAAATGTTCGCTAAAGAATAAAGCGGAGAAGCAGTCTTTCTAGGTACGATAAAATATGATCATTTTGTGGGAAATTTGCTTATTAAAAAACGATGTTCATTTTGGGTAGCAAGGTGAACAACATATATTCAGAATTTAATTTGTTTTTAAAAAAAATTGGAGAGGAATCAATTATAGTTTGTTTTAACAACGATTAAATAATTTTGGCTGTAAATGTATCCAATAAAGTGTAGGCAACGCTTTATTATATGTAAAAGATGGGTTAACCTATTATTTTTTTCTCATGAACCTCTAAGGAAGCTGAGACGCGATACACTGCAAAAGGCAAGAAGCGCTAGCAATACTATTTGGTCTAGCATTGTCGCAATTATTTGATCGGTAAGAAATTTATTATTCTGATCATAAGTCGTTTCACCTTTTTAAAAAGGACAATATAGAATTAATCATATTCCAGAGATAGCAATGGTGTATGTTGTTTGTAAGACAGTTACAATTTTGAATTAAGACATCGGCGAGGTAAAGAAAATTACCTGCCAGATATTTCGTCAAATTTGGGATTTGATAGTGGAGATCCTGATAATACCTAAAATGATATAGCAGATAATAACAGATAGGGAAGAAGTATTGATTAGTTTTCTGTCTTATATTTTGAAAGGATGTCCGACTAATTGTGAGGCTTTAAAGTAAATACGATAAAGGATTAAGTCAGTTAACATTGCATTTAACTGTTGTAAAACCGTGGATTACAATTATAGCACCTATAAAAATTGAAAATGAGTTGTCTGTCGTAGATGATTGTGTGATGCGGGGACATCGCGAGCTTGTCCGATTTATATTGAAGAGAATAACAATTTATTGGATAGTTGAAGTCTTGGTGCTCCCGAATATTTGTTGTGGCTGAGCATGAATAAATCCTGTACAGCCATGAATTATGAGAAGGTCCATGTTTTAACGATATAAGTTGTCATTAAAATGCTACAAAGGTTATGATTTCGGTATATTATAGATCATTATGTCCAATAGTCGCAAATGGACATGATGAGAAGATGGTAGCGATTAAAAATTGGATATGGAAATATCAATTAGGGAAAAGCTGTGTGGATTGCCATTTTGTATTATGATACTAAGTACAAAAGAGAGGGATTAATTTCCACTGAATTATTTTTAGGTCGTAGGACCAAGATTTTATTTGAGTTATTGAAACTGAAAGGAAATATTGAGCTTCGGACCATAAATTCAAATAATTAAAATTTTTGATCGAACTTTGATTCAGGATGAATTCTTGAATTTAATTTTTTTAAATATTATAAAACCAATAAATTATTTTTGAAATGCTATTAGGCGAATATTATCTTTGGAATTTTATTAGCGGTTTATAATGGCTGAATCATTGTAAAGGATTTTTTTTAAACTATGTAATTGTAGTAAAGAAGTAATCTATTGTAATATTTTATCATATTATATATTATATTTGCCAGTTAGATATGATAATTTATATATATATTTTCGATTAATATAATAGGTGTTGTTTAACTTCCTAATGTATTATGTACACACCCATCCATTAACATGTAATTATACGCCATTTGTAATTAAGTTGCACCTTATGGTTAAAGTATACTGAATAAAATGTCAATGAAAACTGATACTTATTGTAAATGAATTATAGAAATAAATAAATGTAAATAATCGTTCTACCTTCATTAAAGTAATGATATTTATTTTGTAGAATGTTATCACGCCTGTAAAAGGTGGCGTGTAATGGATATATATTCAGCGGCTACATTGATGTAGGTAGGAGGGGAAGGTAGGATAAGTTAGCAACTTTTTGTAAAGGGTAGGGGTGTTTTGGCGCCTTTTAAGCGGCTAGGATAAATTTATTATGTGGTAATTTTAAAATTTTTAGATGAAATGGAGCAAAATATATTGCTGTAAAAATTAATACTTTTATTTAGATGAAATTGTTGATCATCGACCAAATCTTAATTTTGCATATACATTATTTTCCAAATACATTTTCTCAGAAAACTCATATTTATGCCAAACATTATATTATCTTCTTATCTTATCTTATCTAGCACGTTGGTCATGGACCTGCCCAAAATGAGCGAACGTGAATTACTATAGAGGCCCTATCCTCCATAATAATTATGCCGATTTTTTTCCTCAAGGATACCAACAAACCTTGTAAAACATTATATTATAATGCCTTCATTATAAATGAGGGGGTTTTTAATTGAATTCATGATCTAAATATTATCACAATATTTTGATAGTTGGTAGTAAAGCATAAATAATTTAAGTTATATTTTTAAAATATATGAAGGTAGTATTATCATTAAAAAGGTATAAGGCGAAAATTTTTGCGGTAGTCATAGGTTTTTGAAATGGCTTGCATCCAGTGAAAATCTGGTTATGTAGATGACATTTATTGAATATAATGTGCCAATCAAATAATTTATGCGTTTCGTAAATTTGAATTATGTCATATGTCAGGTTTTAAAAAGATAAATATTAGTCTTTAATTTTTAGTTATATTTTTGGCGATAATAGACTTTGAATAAATAAACCATTTTACCTATTTTATTAATATGGATACAAATATTTTTAGTATTCTGGTATAGTATGTTGGCTGAGTAAAATATGGGATTTCTGCTGTATGTAGCCAGTGTTTTAATAATCGTTGCTTGGAGGAAATGTTTACGAGCTATTTTTATTAAATATAAATTGGAATTTTGCTTATAATCAACTTAAATCTCACTTTCTGCATTTATATCATACTTTATAAGCCTTAATGTCTCTAATATGTTCAAAATATCTTAAAATAATTTTTATTAATAAAAATGATTAAATAAAAAAAAATTATATAAGATAAATTATCTGCACTTCTGTAATTGAAAACTTATGGTCAGGCCCTTTTTGGATTTTTATATTGAAAAATTTTTATTTGAGCTCTCAGATTGAATTAATACACTTAAATTAATTTTGATCCCTTTTGTGAGAAAAGAAATTTAACAGAGTCTATGAATAGATTTAATAATGCCAATAGTTCATCTACTAGAACTCATTCTATTGATAAAATTTTAAAGCTTATTTTACATAGTTGTTCAAATTGAATATATGGTAGTTTTTAACATGTAGGTCCATTAGAATAAAGATAAGATATGATTTATATATGCATTATATTTTTTATATTAACTGAAATATCAAACATAATTATATACTAATACTGTTTTATATAAATTTGTATCATTATAACGTGTTGAATTTATTTTTGATATCACTTCATTCAGCACTTTATAGCATAACTAATATATTCTCATAAAATTTATAATTAGTTTTGTTTTTATTATTTTATCGCCTAACTAAAACAACATGTCGTTTACATTATCGCGTAACTTAAAATGTTTACATTTTGTTGTATTTTATTATTTCGTAACTTAAATAATTAATTATTCTTTTAACTTTATCGATAATTTTAAATATTATTTAATTAAAGATTAAAAGATGTATATATATATTGAATATGTTCTTTTGAATAGTGATAATATATGTATTTATATTGATATAAAAAATTAGTTAAAGATTAAAGAATTTGATTTAAACATTAACTATTTATTAGTTGAAGAATTAAAAGAATGCGATTTATACATTAAACATTGATTTTCATATCCAGTTTAAAATATAATAATTTAATAAATAATGCTAGTTTTTAGTAATAATAAATAAATGAAACAAAAAAAAAATTGTATAAAATATTGATCATCAAATATCATTTTAAAATTTTAAAACGCGGTGCCGACACCCTAAAAGTTTGTAACAATAGTAAAGAAAAAATTCAAATTTAACACTTTCAAAAAATTATTAAAAATTTTCGCATAGGACTCAGCCCCTCCTCAAGATATACAAAGGTAGCATAAAGAATAACAGACAGGGGCTTCGCTCTCTGTATCCCCCCTGGCAATATACCTCTGTTCTTGACAGACTCTTTGATTTTCACTTTATTGTATACCAATAATCTTTTTATAAAATTGGTAAATGTCTTAGGGCATAAAGAATCTTAGAAGTGTTGAATTAATTTTTAAATGAGAGTATTTGGTTTAATGATAAAAATTATGGAAAGTTTTAAGGATTTACAAAGAGAATTTTAATTTTTATAAATTTATTAAATTTAATTTTTTTTAATTTAAAAAATAGGTTAGTTTGTAATTTTCTGAAAGCCGTCGCTTCACGTTTATATAATATATATGAAACGATTCCATCAATTAATCATAGCATTATTATTACTATTATTCATTTTTTGCTTATCTTATACAAAAGCTTTTTCTCGGTCTCATATTCTAAAGAATTTTACTTTCGTAAACACTAAAAAAATATTATAATATATATTTATTTTAGATAACACCTATTCTTATCATACTCGCTTTTGGATTTTATTTGTTATCCATTCTAATATATCAAGTAATAACATTTAATAATTGCCCGGAAGCAGCTAAAGAGCTAAGAAAAGTTATTTATACATTTATGTTTTGTAAACATTAAATTTTAGCAAATTCAACAAGCTAGAGAAGATTTGGGAGAAAAAGGAATTAAGTTTTGAATTACTTTATTTATAACCAATAAAAATTTACAATAAATGAGGCAATTAACTGAACATGAAACCAAACTTTTATTTTCTAAACTATTAAAATACATATCTCCAGAAAGTATTAAATTACTTGTAGACAGACCTGACAAGAAACAACACCATTTTAGACTTATTAGAGAAAATCGTGTGTATTATATTAGTGCTGATATTACAAAATTAGCATCAACTATCACAAAAACTAAACTTGTATCATTAGGTATAAGAATGGGTAAATTTGACAAATCTTTTAAATCTTTCAGACTTTCAATTACTGCATTATCATTATTAGCTCCATTAGCAAAATATAAAATATGGTTAAAACCATCATCCTCAATTCAAAATCAATCTTTACAAGGATTTTTATATGGTAATAATGTTACAAAATCATCCATATCCAAGATGTCAGAAAATATCCCAAAATATTCTGGTGTTTTTATATTTTCCTCTTCTACAAATGTGAATTATGAAATCCCATTAGGCTTTGGAGTTGCATCTAAATCAACCCAAGAATCAAGAAGTTCAAATAATCCACAAGATATTATATGCTTTCATCAAGCTGATATTGGGGAATATTTGAGACATGAAAATGAATTGTGTTGATTTCTAATAAAAAATATCATTTTTATATCTAACATTTAATTATTATTAAAATTTAATAATTTTTTGATGTCACAATGAATAAATCATACCTATAATGTTAAATAATACACCTTATAAACCACGTGATAACTCCAATATACAATACACTAACATACATCAAAATTATGAATTTGTTCCACAATTTAAACATAAAAATCAATATACAAAGAACCATAATAGTGGTCTAACAAACAATTCTTATCTCAATGGTGTAACTAATAATGAAAAACGAAGGCATCCCATTAATTTCAATAGTTTTGAAGAAAAAAGAAAAAAATTTATTAAATGTATAAATGAATCCCTTCCCCTCTTTCTTGCATGGATTCTTTTATTTGGTACAGCAGTGGCTTATGCATATGGACCAGGACAATGGCTTTGGTTTTCACCAATCTCATCTAATTTACATGCCATATATAATCACAAGGGAAATAATAGTCACATTGCATGGTTAATAGATCTTTTAAGACCCCTCAGACTTGTACTATACCTTCACTCTACCTTATTTATATTTTTGATGATAAACTTTCTTGCTTGCATATTCATTGACCCTGGTATTTATCCTAGAGCAGGACAGGAGGAAGAGTTATATAGAAATGGTAATTCCAAAGTAATTGATGATTTCAAGGCCCCTCTTTATGAAAGAATTGATATAAAAGGAGTTACAGTTCAGCTCAAATGGTGCAATACCTGTAAATTTTACCGGCCCCCTCGATGTTCTCATTGTAGTGTTTGTGATTCCTGTATAGAAACCTTTGATCATCATTGTCCATGGCTTCACAACTGTGTAGGAAGGGGAAATTACAGGTTAATGCTTGTCTTATGTTTATTTATATATATTGGTTAACATGTTTATTGGTATCAGAAAAGAAAGCTTTAGAACTCATATTTTTTAAAATATCGTTTTTGAGCATCTATTTAAAAACAGCTTTTAATCACCCTTAAAAAAGCAATTTAAACTTCTCAATATATAATTTTGATAAAGTTTTTAAATATTTCAATTGTTTATATCAATCAATTTAAGATTGCATTTAAATTTTGTTTGTTGTGTTAAACCAATTTGAAAGAAAAAAAGAAAGGAAAGGAATCAGGTGCTTTACGTTTAAAAGATATAAAAGTTTAAACAAAATTAGAAAACAAAATATTTAAATATCAAATCATATGTAATTTTAAATTTATTTTTTGAATAAATCTTTTCTACTTTTAAATATAATTTTCTTGAATCATACAGATATTTCTTCATCTTTCTTGTTTTACTTATGCTTCATACCCTGACTATACTCGTCTTTAGTCTAACTTTCCTGTTTCACCATTTCAAAACGCTTATGACCTCCCCAGGTATAGTGACTATATGTCTTTGCACCTTAGCTTTTGTTCTATTGCTTCCTATAACTGGACTATGTGGCTTCCACTCTCTTCTCATAATCAAAGGAAGAACTACAAATGAACATGTTACAGGCAAATTTAAAGTACATACATAAATAATTTTGCAAAGAGATAATATATTATTAAGGTGAACTTCCCCCTCTCCCTTAGTTTATTTTCAACGTTCATTGACAATTAAATTATTTATAAAATATACAAATTTGTAATACTTTAAATTGTGTTCAACTATTAAAATGTAAAACCATTAATGAAAACTTAAATGAAATATTAATTAATCACATTAAAAATCAATATATTCTAAAAGATGTTAATTATTTTATATCTATGTTTATAATATTTACTTTATGTATCTATTAATTAATAAGCCTATAAAATACAACTATCAAAAATAATAAATAGATGATGATGAAATAAAACAATGATGCTTACTTTAATTGACAAAATATAAATAATATTCAAATTAATAAACTATACTACAAGACAGAAATAGTGGCTGGTAAAAAAAATCAAATGTAATAAAGGAAACAACTGGCCTTTTTTCTTAAAAAATTCGGATTTATATTATAAATAAGATACTCTGATATTGAACAAACCTAAAAAACAAACGCGTTTATCAAAAAAAACAACGCATTCACTCTCAAAGTTCGTCAAAAATAAAAGGAACGTCGTTCATCATTTAAAAAAAAATGAACTTCAATGAACGAATTCGTTTGCAACATTACCCTTTAATTATATATTTGCAATACAAAATTCTTTTACTTATTCATAACCTATGGATATGTTTATAAAATATAACATGCTGTGATATAGTGTGATATTTAGAAATAAATAGAGTGATATGGATAACCTGAGTATATCGGTTTAAAGTATCCATAGGGTTTGGGGGCGCTCTCGCTCCTTCAGACCCCGTCGTTTATAGTAAGCATATAATACCGCTATATTGTTTAAGCAATGCGTAATTCGTTTCTAAACGATAGCATGGCTTTATAATTTAATATTATGTATAATTCCGGCTTGCTTTAGCTTCAGCGGTATATCTCGCTTTCTAAAAACGAGGTCTAAAATTGAGAAATTTCGAATCACAACGGGAAGGCTCCGAATAAATCGTTACCACATATATATACAATTGAAATGAATTAATATCTTTTATTTGTTCTCAGTCCGTAGACAACCCCTACAACGAAGGTTGGGTCAATAATTGTTGCAGGACACTTGCCTCTTCGTCATCCTTTACCAGACTCCGCTGCTTTCCTAATTCTTTTTACTTTCGCGCTTGGGATCGAAAAATTTATAAAAACTATCCTAAAAAGTTTAAAAAATTTAACGACATCTACAATAATAAGCAACAACGGTCCATCGAAAAAAAAATCCGAGGCTATATGTACACTCCTGATCTTGTCTACGATAAATACGCGCTATCCACCCATAAAAATGCTAAAAATACCGTGGTGGATATCGAGGGAGTTTCGAATGAGGATAATAATAGAGCAGTAACCGTTTCTTTATTACCCAGAATCAATAATGTAATGAACGCTGAGACGACGTTTGCAGACGATATGGAAGTTAAAAATATTCCGGAAAGTTCGAAAAGTAGCATTTACCACGTTCAACAACGTTTGCCGCCAACCAAGCGCACCGAGCTAGATTTAGATTTAAAATACATTCAAGTGTGAAGCATTTTCTTATCGAACTCAAGAAATTGGGGGAATTTAAGAGAACGTTTGGGGATTTATACAATTAATTTTTTTAGACATAAATTCGGTAATTTAGAAAAAAAGAATTTTTACCTATTGTTAAATTGTTGGCGATATTTGAAAATTTTTGTAAAATATAATTCCACAGATTACGATTTGAATTGGCTATATAAATAAATATATACCTTTTTTTTTATTCGAAGCAAAATGAATTAAATTAAATTGCAAGATGTTTGTTATAGAGCTATTTCTTTTTATTACCCATTCTATAAATTTCACTAATTTTGTGACCAACCTTTGAAGAAACCTTAATTTATATGAATTTTGTAAAAAATTATGAAAATTGAAATCTCTAAAAGTTTATTATAAAAATGTTAGAAAATTATATGGCGGGTATTATACACCTATTGAAATGCATTTCCAGAAAAATCAGATTTTTGAATTTAAAATAACACGCTCATTTAATATGCAAAGAATAAAACAACATCCACCAAACATTGGCTTACCCAAAGTTTGATATAGGATAAGCAGGGTTTAACCAAAAATTTGAAACAAAAAAAATCTTCACATTTTTTGATCTTCAAATGAGTAAGAATTTTTAAAGAATTTTGAATTTTCAGCAAATGTTAAATCCTGGATAAGAACATAAATGCGAAAGTTAATTTTTTAAAAGATAAAATAATAATTAGCCTATCCTTTTATAATAAATTAAAATTAGCATATCTCCTCATAAAACTGTCTAGCCAAGATTTAAATTTACTGCTCACATTATTTTTTTTAAAAAAATGATCTTCGCTAATTCTAACAAGTTACCTTCCATTTCAAAAATTATAAAAAATATATTGTAAAATGGGGAATTTTTTAAGAATTAGGGGTAGAATGTTCATTCGGCACCCATTTGAGTAATCCTAAAGTATAGAAGGATTTATTACAAGTTTGATTTTTAAAAAGTTTAAAATTAAAAAAACTTAATTATTCATGTTTTCTGACAATAATTTTAAAGTAGAAGAAACAGGTGGTAACCTAATATATAAAATGGGCCTAAGGTCAACGGTTCGGGTTAGTCTTTATAATCGGTTCCACTATTCGGCTTAAAGAATTGCATATCTTATTTTTTATAATTATTAAATAAATACAATCAATCTTAGAAGCCATTCTTTAAGGCATAAAATATTCTTTTAAAATTCTATTTTTGGTAATCTTAATTTTGCCTACGGAAAACGCTCACAAAGGTTGTATAAAAAGTCCTGAAAAAATAAATAAAGTATTTGGCTATTTTGAACTAAAAACAGGGAAATTGCTTCCAGTACAATAACCACTATTAGGAAATTTATGTTAATATCTTGCCCCCCCCCTTAGATATTAGCACCCTTCGTGAAACTAAATCAAAATTCACCAAATATTTTATCATTAAATATATATACTCTTTCTGACTGCATAATCTTATAATTTATAAATATTTGATGTTAGTAAATAATAATTTTGCAAATGTCCGAAAAAAATAGAATATATAATTTTGGCCTTCATATAAAAAATTAAAATTAAAGAAATTCGTGATAATTTTATGAATCGAATAATTTTCAATATGCCTATTTATAATGTATTCATATTCTTATCATTAGAACCAATGGAAAGATTTTTAAACTTTGCTCTATTAATAAAAAAATAAATACAATCCTACAAAGGTACGAATGGATTCCCAACCCTGATATAGGGGGTATAAAACAAATTTTCAAAATAAAAATGCTTGCTCATAAAAAATTTTCATTATTAATTCGAATACTTCATTGAAATTTATTTTTAAAAATTGGTATTCTTACTACACATGCCTATATACATTTCCGGAAAAAAAATTATATTATTTACATTTTAAAATATCGCTTAAATAAATGAGTTAAAGTTGGTAAATAATACAATCATTTGTTAGATCTTTTAAAAATTATAATTGTATCTTGCCTAAAATGTATTTAATATTTATAGAAAGCCTATCCCATAAATTTCAGATAATTTGATCATAAAACATTGAATCATTTTTAAATTTATATGCTAGTAAAACGCGAATTGTTTAAGAATTAAATTAGTCAATAATCAGTGAGGCAAATTTTATAGGGAGACTGGCTCTCCGAACTAAGGATTTATTATAAACACGATTAATCTAAATAATCATAAGTGTTTATTAATATAGAACTAAAACATTTAAATTAAAAATAGACCACATCATTTTGAGTTTATAAAAGAAATCTTTACCAACATTTAAAAGACCATTTTTATTTAGTATTCTAGATGAGTCGTAGGCTCCCCTTCACCTTCAATGTCATCGTAATTTTTTTCCAGCCACCCTAAATTTTCTCTAGCCTCGTGGAATTCACCTTCTTCCATTCCTTCTCCCACATACCAATGAATGAAAGCCCTTTTTTTGTACATTAAGTCAAATTTGTGATTGATCCTGCTCCACAAACTTTTGACAGATGTTGTATTGCTCAACATACAAGCAGTTCTGCTGACTTGAGCTAATTCGCAACCTGGAATCACCGACGCTGGTTGATGATTAAAGCCTATCTTGAAACCAGTTGGACACCAATCTACGAAACGAATTTGCCTTTTGCATTTTAATTGCGCTATGGCTTGATTTACCTATGTAGAACAGGATATATTAATTCATATATTTATTGATATAATAATTCCCCCCCCCCCCTCAAAGTTCAGTTTTCCTTTTCTTAAACAGGATTCTTTGGTCTTCAAATTAACAAAATAAACTGGCGAATAGTCTTTCAGACTACAGAGATGGGGAGGGGGGAGTTAGTATTATAAGAACCGATTTTTTTAAAGAATAAATTATATAAAAATTTTAGATGATCAAAAAAAATATATATTTCATAAAAATAACAAACATCTTTAGGCAAAACATCTCCACGATATAGTAAGCAACATGACATGTATTTTCCAGTTTTAGGATCGCATTTTGCTAATTGATTATTAGCATCGAAACACTCGGAGGTTATTTGATGCGACGAAAGCTGCTCATGATTTGCTTTTTCTACAGATATCAATGGAGATAGACTTGATATCGGAAAATGAATTTTCGGGTAAGGAACTAGATTCGTTTGAAACTCGCACATATCTACATTTAGTTGTCCGTCAAATCTTAAGGATGCTGTTAAAGATGATAAGACCTGGCTGATTAAGTTATTGAGATTTGTGTAAGTCGGCCTTTCCACGTCCAACTTTGAGTGAGATATATTGTAAATAGCTTCATTATCCATAACAAACGTACAATCCGTGGTTTCCATAGTGGAATTCGTGGCAAAAACTGTGTTATAAGGTTCGACTACAGCAGTCGATACCTTAAATTAAAATAAGTCTGCATAAATATTATTGTATTAAAAATATTATTAAGTTTTATAAAACAAACTTATTTATTCAAAATGCCATTTGTTTTTACAAAATTTTGATATAAATTTTTATAAAATTTAATTAAAATAAACACCTATTTTTATCAATTTAACAAAGTAATAGTGTGAAATAAAATATGATAAAAACTATTTTTTTTATTACTTGTGGAGCGGGAAATATGGCGATTTGCAACTTGCATTTCTTATTAAAGTCTTCCAATTTTTCCAACAACAAAGACGTGAACCCAGCGCCGGTTCCACCTCCCATACTATTTATGAAAAAAAATCCTTGAAATCCATCGCAAAATTCAATCATTTTTCTAATTTTTTCTAGAGTTGGCTCTATCACATCTTTGCCTATAGTATAATGACCCCTAGCATAATTGTTGGCAGCGTCTTCTTTACCCGTGATCATGTTAGAAGGATGAAACAAATCCTTCTGAGCGCTATTCTTGATTGTATCTATAACGGAAGGCTCTAAGTCTACAAATAACGTTCTTGATTCATCACAAAATAAATGTTTTAATATATTAACACTTTTCAAAATATAAGGCGATTAAATAATAATAATTTTGACAAGTTTGCAACATTATTATACTATTTTTTATATTCCGCAACTCGCCTATTTTAAATTAAGATTTTAGCTAAAATAATATTACGCAAGCCTCAAGATATCGTTAATAGCGGAAGCGGCCCAAACTATTATTTAATCTATGAGCAAAATATCCAGGCTTGTTTAATATTTTATGTCTATAATATTGGGTTAGCCGTCGAAACTATTAAATAAAACGATTTAGCTGTTTTAATATAATTATATTATTTTTATACCTAGGGACGAATTTTCCCGTCGTGGTTTCATCGTAAAAAGATCTTATACTATCTTTAATTACTCTGTTTTCATATGCCGACTGATCGTTTATCATTCCATCCGAGCGAATGTCATGCTCTAAGCAACATAATTGCCAAAATGAACTCCCTATTTGGCATCCTGCTTGGCCGACTTGTAAACAAATGCACTCTCTCATATCTACCTCAGTGAAATGATCGTTTTAAAATATAGTTTGAAAGAAAGAATAAAAAATAAATGATGGTTTCGTTTGAGAAGTATAACTTTTTTTTCTGATATTATAGATGATTCTATTTTATACTATTAATTTTATTCTAAATTTTTTAAATCTGTTTCGTTTTAATATTACTTAAAATAAATTTAATATATTTTCTACAAAGATCTATGGGATGAATGTAATTTTTCAATATATATATATATATATATATACTTACAATATGAAAATAAAGATTATATATCCTTGGTAGTACCATCTTGCAAGTTTATTTTTTTTTCGGGTCGAGCCAGGCCAGATCCATCCTAATTTTATTTTTATACCCACAGCTACTCTAACTCAAAATTTATGCATATTTAAACCGAATATTTATCTAAGCCCAACTCGAAATTTTAAATATTGTTTTATCTTTACTAAAATATGAGATACTTATTTCTATTTTAATCTTTAAAATAAATAATATTTCTTTCTTTCTACCCTACTTCTGGCTAAGAACAGCTTCGGACCTACTTACAAATTTCTACTTGTTGTTAGCTAGTTTTCAGTTTTTCAATCTTTTTATTATACGGAACAAATATATATATAGCGTACAAAAAAATACCCAAGAAAACAATTATAAAAAATAATAATTGGATTATGTACATATTTATTAGGAATTCATTTATCGCAACAAGAACATTAGCACGTTAATATATTTGATAGCTCTTCTTAGTATTTGACACTTGCTCAATTTCTTTTCGGGAGGATGAACCGGTATCAAATTCCTGAGCTCATTGAAAGCGATGTTTACCTGTTTTTGCCTGCAACTCTCTTTGTATTCGTTAGGAGATTTAATAAGAGCCAATATCGCTGAATTATTTGAGGACCGGGAAATATTATTTGCAGTTTTGACATGATTTAATTTTTTACCCCGTGTCTTTTTACCCCTTTTTCTAGGTTTTTTGGTGACTCTTTGACAATCATACATGATGAGATCAAAAGAAGATGAGTTCATAAGTGGATTAATATATTAATGATTATTATCAATCAACAAGTTGATAATTAAGTTAAAATTAAATTTCTTTTTTTAAAAAATAGGGAAGTTATCAAATTTCAAGTGTTTTATAAGTGTTAATTTGTTTTAAATGTTTAAAATAATCAAATTTGTTATAATAAATTTAAAAATATTATTTTTTTTAAATATGTCAATCTTATTACCAAACTCATTAAACGACAAATAGCATATCGATAATATGAATGAAATAATTCTATAATTATCATGGATTAAAATTTAAACAGGATTAAAATAAAAGTGATATGACCCGGCGAATCATTACAAATAGGGTAGAAACTGATAAAATCAATTATTGATTATCATAATCATACATGTACAATTTAATATTCTAGAAATGTAAATGTACTTAGGATAGATTTTCTGGATAAAAACGAAAGGAAAAAAATTTCGGTGTGCACAAAATATCGTTATAATTATTTTAATTTTGATAAGGAAAATTGGGGAAATTTTTCCCTAAATTTCCCCATTTTTTAATCCACCCCTTTGCTTAAGCTTTCTCTTAAAATCTGAGTAATGGAATTGCTTAAGAAAATAGATTTATAAATTAGATAAAAAAAAAGATGTTAATTAAATTTTAAAAAATTTTTAATTTAAACATTTTTGCACTATAATATTTTTAATTATAAAATCAAGAAATTTTTTTTTATACGAATTAACGAGGTGTTTTTTTTTATAGATAAGATTTTAAAAAAAAATTAATTAAAATTGTTTTAAAATATGGATGGTTAACATTTTGCAAGATTTTTTTTTTAATTAGGGTTGAAAAATTGTATGAAAATATTATATTTACATAAAAAAATTTAATTTATCTTTAAAAAAATTCTTCAGTGAAGCAGAATTGCTGAAAAAATTTCCACATGGCCTGTGGAGACTAAAATTATGAATATCCTTCAATATAATATCTACTCATAATATCAAATGCGTGAATGTTGAAGCCTTTTGGAATCGATGTTGAACACATCCGAAGAGCCATGACGTATACTCTATAATTTTGGGTTAATAATTTATTCCTTCTTTATGGAAGCGGTGAGCGGCTAGATCCCATCTCGTAAGTCATAATCGATCATCAAATCATTTCTTAATCATAAATTGGTGTATTTGTTGAGTTTAGACGTACTCTTTAATGTTTTAATGTTATTTTTTTTTTACCATATCAAATTATATCCTATTAAAATGAATATGAACTACAAATAGAATATAAAAATACAAGATTTGTTTTTTTTTCGAATTGCGATTGAAATGAGAAAATAAGAAAAATAAAGGGCGGAAGACAATATATTAGTGATTTTTCTATTGAATAGAAGTGGTTAGATTTTTATAAACTCATTTCAATATTAGATAAACTTTTCAATGCAATCAGACCATATTGCTGAAAATGAAGTCTCTGAATATATTCTATCTATCCCAATTTATTATTTATATTTAAGTATAAAATAGGAGTTTGGAGTTTAAGCAACAGAAATATATTTAATATAATTAAAAGGGAAATTATAAATGTCCTCTTTTTTTCGCTTAGCATTTGACTCATTTAAAATAAAAAGCTACTATTGTTAAAAAAAATAGTATATGCTTGTTAGATGGCGGCACATATAAAGAACGCCTTGGCTTCGCATAAGGATGTCTGATTATTAATTATGTAGCGATTTCCTTTTGTTACTTTCTATGATATAGTCAATAATTACCTCTAAAATTTCTAGAGAATTTTTGAACCACCCTAAGCGATCATAGTAGAGAGTAATAATAGGGGAGAGGGGATGGTTGGGATATTTTTAGCTCAAACCTTAATAATTTTAATATTAATAGACTAATCTGAATAAACATCTTCTGAATCTCAAAAGTATAGGCTATTTGAAATAATTAATATATAATTTATAAAGACTATATTTATTTAAAAAATTGGATTAAAAAAATTTTTTTTTGTCCTAACCATGACAGACTCTGTATACGCTGGGACACACATTTGTGATAGTTGGGACAATTATGGAATGTAGGTCTAAATTAATTTAAAAATTTTAAATCAGGAATCCAGTAAGACTAGAGACTATAACACATTTGATTTTATTAATAATATTGTAATTCCTAACCAATAACTATATAAATTTTTTTTAGCAAAATTAGGAAATTTAAAAATTATCAAATTATTTAGCACAACTTCCGTGTGCCCATCCATCACTAGTAAATGATAAAATAAGCTAAAATAGCATGCCCACTCTATACTATGACCAACTATGACCGAGTCCACTAACTTTATAAATATCATCCAAAATCATATTAATTTTTTTTTTTTAATTCTGAAAGTTTGTCAGATTGAAAAATAGGGTTTAAACTTTCCTAAGATTTTTGAATCTCTATTTATAAATATAAACGATAAACGATAAATTCCAAAATACATCTTCTGTAAAAATTAAAATAGTAAATATTTAAATCTTTTTTAGCCAATCATGTATGACGTAATTATCTATGTTAGGCTCAAATTTCCAGTCTTCTAAAGCTCAAATTATAATTGGAGTGACTTAACGTTCCCCTGTCCTCAATGTACCCCAGTCTCCCCTAATTGAATATTTTAAATAGATCTAAAAAAAAATATTAGCTGACTATTTTGGCGGATAAATTGTGAATAATAGACTTATCATTAAGGCGATGCTAAAGCAAAAATATCGATCAATTAAAAGATGATAGTTTGCCTTTGTTTATTGTAAAAGGAGAAAAGGGAAGATGAAAGAAATATATATATAAAAAAAGGAAGTATAGAACTTATAATGGGCACGCTGAGTTGCAAAAACAAATAATGCATTTCAAATCATATATCTTGCTAATTTGTCAAATTCATAGATTTAAAAGCTATTTATAGAAACGCAAATTTGTTTGCCTATTCATTAATTTTGCACGTTGATCTGCCTCCCGTTCTCAGTTTTCTTCCTTATAAATGTCGAAAAAACTTTGTTACCGAGAAAAGAATTAATAAGGATGAGAGTACTAAAAAAAACCCTTCCTAGTTGTTTAATTATATGTAAATTAAATTTATTATGATTTAAAATGTAAAAAAAAATAAAATGGAATATTTAGAAATTAAGGGAATAATATGCAGACGATAATATAATTCTTTTTTTATTACTTATTATGCTGCATTTATAGTAAATGCGCTATCTTCAAGCTTTGCGTTATTTAACTTAGTGTTATTTCAGCTGATTCATTTAAAAACTAATTTAAGATAAAGCTAAATAAGAGATAATTATTTAATAATTTAAGAAAAATCATAATATACCTTTTTACTGAATTCTCTATTATTTTTAATCGTATCGCATATTTTTTGTCAACGCATCGCAACATCTGTTTTTCAAATTTTATTATAACGTTATCATCATAACGCTCCATATTTATAAATATTGGCTTTGTAATAGGGTTGCGTGCAACGCTTGAACAAAACTCGTTTACTATATATGCGGCCATTTTGAATCAGCGATACTAGTAAAAAGGCAACTTATTAAACAACGGATGCGCTACGTTTTTTTATTTTTAAAAAGGTAAGGCAAAATGCAAATGCACAATTTTTACGCGCTATCAAATTAAAGGGAAAAATTTACAGTTCCATAGTACAACCAACTATTCTATATAGTTCGGAAACATGGCCAACCAAAGAATCAGACGAGAGAAGTCTACAAACTATGGAGATGAGAATGCTGAGGATGATTGCTGGGGTAACAAGAAAGGATAAGGTGCGCAGTACAAGAATACTAAATAGTTTAAAGGTAGTGCCCATTAAGACTAAGTTAATGGTAAACAGACTTAGGTGGTATGGGCACACAAGATTGGAAGTGATGGGCAAACGTAAAGAGGAAGGCCAAAACTTCAATGGGGCCATAAAGTTAGAGCCAATATAAAGAAGTATAAAATAGATAAAAGAGATTGTACGAATAACATAAAGTGGAGAGGATGTTGAAGGAGCTTACCACCAGAAAAGGTGAAAGCTAAAGAGAAAAAAAAAAAAATTAGAATTTATGATCTTCCTTTTACAATATGCAAAATATTGCACATTATCATGGCTTCTATTTTTTCGCTAATCATTTATCTTGATATATTATAAGTCTCTGATGGCCATAAAACACGGATCATCTATGATAAATGAATCTTGTTAAAACTATTGTGTAAGTTAACACAATATCTTATGCATGTAATTCATCAAATAACTTTGAACCACAAATCGTCATTAACAGTCCGGGTGACCTTATTGGGGCCTCATAGCCCTAGGAAGCTGGTCTCTGAAATTTTTTTGTTTATATATTTATAATTGTTTGCCTATGACTAAGACTACTCCGAAACCTGGCCCTCTCATCCCAATACCATTAGAACTGGAATATAAACCGTAGTCGAGATAGTAGCGTCACTGGGAGGGGAGGCGCGCAGGGGCTCGAGCCCCCTCAAAAATTTGAAGAGCCTTTAAGAAAACGTTTTTTTGAGTTCTCTGAAATTGTAAAGGCTAGTAACGCCACTGAGTTAATACCATCCCTTCCTTCTCAATTGTTTATTGAGCATGTATGTTTTGGCTCAAACCCAATTCTAAAATTAGTATTCGTCTCTCTCTCTCGTAAAAGTTACCCTCATTTAATTACGCTATTATACTGAACACCAAGCATGAGGCCTGACTAGGGCAATGATTATTATTTTCTTACATATAGGTTGGGTAAATATTTTTCCCTTGCTACGAAATAAATAAGCAATTATCGCTGACTATAAGATTAGCTTAAAATTGTCAATATTTTTGTTGCTCAAAAATGTAACAAAAGTATTAATTTGATAATTTTAAAAAAATATTTGTCATATAATATCACCAATCTTAAATTATTATTTTTGCCAGTATTGGAAAGAATTATCTAAATCTTCAAACTGATGACTTATGCATATCATATCCAATATCAAATTCTTCTTTTTTATTATACTTAAACAAGCTAATTTTATTTCTTAAAGAAAATCATTAATGCTGTTTAGGAATTATTCACTTGACGTTACTTATATCTCCTTATTCACAAATAGAACACGACAATTCATATAATTATTCAAGAAATTCTTGCCGATATATAAATTAATCGATCGCCTATATATTTCCTTCTATTTATTTTTTATTTTTGATATATTACTAATAGAGGTACCCTCATCTCAAAAAGGCCCTTGGGCTCTACACTCTGCTAAAGCAACGAGGATATTGCCCCTAATCCCCATTTTACCATTTATCAAAATTGAAATTCAAATCAAAATAACCTCACTACCCCCTCCGATCATGATGATCTGTCATACCCTCACTCGCCACCATTTTAGAGGTCCCTAAAGAAAGTAGGGTTAGTTACTGCCCAACACTGAACACTTATCTATCAGGGGTGGTAAGGTTTCCATGTAAATAGGGTTGTCAATTATCTTGTCTACTAGTGAGTGATATTTGACATGACAAATATAAAATAGGGAGAAATGAAGTGAAAATAAAAATAAATATTTCTTGGCCTTTTCTTTGTCCCTTGGCAAACTTTATATATTTATAAGTTGATTTGTATCTTCCTTAATAATTTTTCGAATAATCTTGATTAATTGTGTTTTTAATATGTACTTTATCATTAAACACATTTCATTAATCTATTATTTGATATTTTTTTTATTTGTGTTATATATACAGAATACAGATTATAGCTTATTTTACAACATATTGCAAAAGTGTATATATATATTTCTCTAATTCAAAAATCGTCTTCATTCATTATAACTATTCATCATATAACTATTTTTTTTTGATAATATTTTCCTGTGTATGTAAATCTTGCTCTGCTGAATCGTTTGTTATTGTGAATAATGATGTGTCGTCGTGGTTTTAAAAATTACTCTTATATGTTCAAACTCTTTTGAGTGAATAAGTGCTCATTATTGACTTTTTTTTTTAAAAAAAAAACAGTTTATACAATGTTGGATTTATCGGAAGAAAATTGTTCATTCGAATATCATTATTTTTTGTCACCCCTATTAAAATTCGCTAGTGGAGGATAAAGCTGCGTCAAAATTTTCAGGGTGGAAAAAGGGTTTAAACTTGTTAAAACTATCGTAATTGTGGTCGAATTTATTGTAACGAATGGCGGAAGAGTCTTCACCCCTTGGGTTGTACCTAAGGTTGCTTATGTTGGTATATTTTTTGGTAATCGTAGCTTGTTTGAGCCTAGATTTATCGGAAGTCTCACTAGAATTGCTGAAAGATTTTTTGCCGCCATTTTTGAATACGTTGAAGGAAATCGATTTAGAGGCCTTTTGATATGTTTTGGAATTTTTGGAGGAGCCTTTGGAACAACAACCACAACACACCTTAAAAAGGACGTAAAGAGGGAAAAGTTTTTGGTCGAAAACGCGGGTTAGTAAGTATATGAGCAAGAGAAAGAGTCCCAGACAAAGGCCCAGAGAAAAATACAATAAAAATTTGTCCTTGTTGCCTTTATCAATAATTGTTTTTTTTTTCATTTTTAAAATAATTTTAAAAAATAGTAAGAACTGCATGTTTTTTTAACACTCTTATTATATATATAGAAATTTTACTTTATTAACAAGTTTCAATTTTCCTTGTTCAAACAAAAATAGAATGAAAGCTATTACCCGCAATGTGAAAAATCAGACAATACATATATTCTCTTGGTCAATATGTATAATATCTCATAAAATTGTCTGAAATTTATAGAGTGGGTATTCTATAAGTGCTGGTTCAGGCAAAAATTTCGAATTTTTAATTTTTTAAAAAAGTATTAATTAGTAATAAAATTGCAGAATCATTTGTTGAAGAAGTATCATATATTTGACAAATCCGATATCGCCTAAAAATGGATATTCTAATATGTCTTAAATTCCTATCTAACAAATTTCCTATAAATTTGGTTATGACATTTGAGTCATTTTAAATAACAGCCGAAACAAAAAATAAAAAAATATTTATCAGCAAAGGGATTCCTTTGCTCAAAAATCAAGACATTTACCAGTGAACCAAGAGAATTTCTCGTTCTACGGCAAAAAAAGCGAATTGATAAATTAAAATATAACTATGGCTCCATTTTGGGAACCCAACAAAAAAATAATTTGCCGTGTTTATAATAAGATTTTTATATTACTATATGTTTTTGAAGTGTACATATATATATATATCGATTGTAATAATATTGACTATAAATATATATTTTGCCGAAAAAAATAGTTAACTTCATAAGTTTATGTAAATACTGTCAAAATTGATTGTTAAATATATTACTTTTAGCTAACAAATAGGATCCGAAGAGGTTGATCATGAAGAAATCTTTGGTCTTGTTAAATTTGTAGGATTTGCTAAACGCGATTGTTGTGTCTATTTTTGCCATAAAATTTTAACAAAGATTAATGAATTTAATATATAATATGCATAATAGTGCTTAAAATTTAGCATTGTGATTTTCTAAAAAAAAAATGCTTAGTTGATTAAATTTAAATGGCATTTCTTTAAAATTTAAATGTGACAAAAAACAATTTTAAAGTTTTTTAACGCAAAATATGACGGTCAAAATACATTATTTGATATATAAATCGCTTATTTGTATGAAGGCCGGAAAAGTTGTGCAATATATTTTTATGGATCGAGTCTGAAAGGGCAAATTTATATATTTTTTTCTTCTTAAAAAAATATTTGAGGGCCAAGTCAGTAAATTATTTTATGATCCTAGCAAAAAATTTAAGGGCTGGACCAAGAACCCAGATTAAAAAAAATCCGAGTATAGTATGAGAATATTTTTTTTCCTCCCCTTCAGTGATTCCATTAATTTATATTAATTAATAAATATAATTCTAGCCTTTTCACTCATTATATTTCCAACTTTAAAGATTCCCTTTAAATCGAGATATAAAATTTTAAAAAATATATTTTATTTTGTATATTTAACTGTATAATCTAGAAATGTTCGAGAGGATCATATTATCCTTGAATTGTGTAGTGTTAGCTGCTATTGACGACTGTTTATATATGTAATTTTCCATGAGTATCTTTTTATGAACTATAAGTTTGTAATATAAAAAAAAATATATTAATAGATCTTTTTATTCCACTATTTAAATATGTCTCATTCATTGTTGATTCTCAGAAGAATTACTATATCTAAAGTTATTTGATTTAAAAAGTATAAAATAAATTCTTAAAACCACTAGTTATCAAGAAACTTACTAAAAATAATATTAAAAGGTGAATGGTTGAAAGTATAGCGCAACCTTTCTGACAGGTTTGATAATTTAACTTTTTTCGTTAAGTTACTCGATTAATTAAATTTATCTTCATAAAAATTGCAAACTTTTTATGGTAGCTAAGATAAAATATAAGACTCAAATACGCTATTTTAATACATTACAATTGTGTCACACTCTCAAATTTATGAATTATATAAATATTAACTACCTAAAATACGTTTTGGGTTTAATAAAAGTATTATATTAATACTTTCATCAAGATAATTTTAAGGAATAAAAACACATCTCTTTTGTCTACTTCCCTTCCCTCCTATAATTATCAAAATCAAATGAAATGCAAAATATAAATTCGAAAGAGATTTACCGCAAGAATATACTACGTGGATGTATTTTTTATACGATTTTGCGATCCCAGAACAAGGATTGCCGAATGTTTTATCGTCGATCATAACCTTACAGAACCTGTGCCCGTAACATTGTGAAATTAGGATTTCTGTCGAACTATTGGCTTCGCAATCTTAAAATATAAAAATTAACACTTCAAGGAAGTATTTTTTTACTATTAAAATTAAAATATTGATTTTATAGTAAAAAAAATCGATTAAACTTATGTAAACTAATAATTATGACAAATCTAGAAACGATTAAACAATTAGCTTTTTAATAAGGCGCTATTAAAAATATATTCTTTGAGGAATTTTAAAACGAGATTGATGACTTAATGTAAAATAAATCTCCAATTTTGTATCTTTACCATATTTTTTTTTGCCAAATTTAAATGTGGATTAAGAATTTTTTAAAATAAATATATATTACTAAAGTGTTTATCGGTCAGCAATTTGGAACACATCAAGTTACCTCCGTTTTGTATACCATAGGAAGCCAAGAATATGATGATTTTTTGATTTTTATCGCATTCGATGTTGAGTTCTTCATTTTCGCAAGTTACTTTGTTAACAAATTCACCTACAATTAAAAAATTTCAATATTTAAAACAAAAAATTTGGATTATAATATTGATCTCAAAGATTAAAACATAAAAGTTTACATTAGATTCTTGAATACTAAAAGATATTTATATAAAATATATTATATATATTATAATATAACATAACTAGGTTGGCATTTGTAAGAGACTTGTAAGTATTTTAAAACGTTAGGGCAAGGATCCTTAAACACCTTGTTGCTAGCAAATACTTGACATTCTGGTTTATCTTGGCAAACATCCACCACTTTCTAAAAAAAATAGGAAGAATTTGTGAGAAGGAATAAATTGGGATTATGGAGAGAGGGAAATTTTAAGAGATTTGAAAAAATATATATAATTATAAATATATGAAGTGCAATTAATTTTGAAAAAAAACAACCATCTAAAAATTAAGTAAATGAATCTATGTCATATGTTCCAAAATGTAATTGTAACGAACTTGCATAGAATATGGCGAGAGGCATATTTTCGATTTGGGTTTAACTATGGCGCTCAGATTGAATGCGGAGGATTTACAAATTTTATCCGGATCCATCTTTTCCCCATCCAAATTACCTTGTTGTAACATCATGCTACTGTAAGTGTATTTGTTGGGACGCCCATATATAGCCGAGGTGATGATGATACTTGTATTCAATGGACAATGAATATAAAGGCTTTGATTTTCGCATGTCGTTTCCACAAATGTTTTTAGGGTCTTGGTTGTAAAGTCTTACAAGACGATTTAAAGAGAAAAAAAGCATATATTAGAGGGGATTTTTTGCATGATGGACCTACGGGGCTTGCCCTTCCCCCAAGAACATAGGATACATAATAACTCCCTTTCCATGCTTATTTTAGCACAACAATAATATATATTTCTTATTGGAAAAAATATTTCACCCAAAAATGACGGGTGAATCAGAAATTTGTCCTTAATATATTTGTTCTTATAATTATTGTAGTATCCATGAACCATGGTTTTTGGTTTGGATTTTTATAATGCCCAAATCTGACGAATCAGTATTTTTGAAAATGATTTCAACTTTCATTTTTAATGTTTTTTTAAGATTTATATTCTTTTAATTTATATCTATTTTGGACATAACAAAATATAAACTTTTATAGAAATCTTACTCCACCCACTTCTATCCAAATCATTCCTTTTATTAACCAAACTAAACTTTAATATCGATTACCAATAGATGTTACCCTTTTAATTTCGGCCTTCCTCTATATTTTTACTAGTTGTATCCCACATAATTCGTCACTTTTTTCTTTTCGCATGGCTAAAACATCTTTGTCTATTTACAGTCAGTTTTTCACTGGTTAAAACTATGCCTGTTATCCACTCGTTTCTTGGACGTTGCTTTGCTTTTTACTCATAAGCGACATCTATACATACGACTTTTAGAGACTACTATCTTCTTTTCCTTATAGTCTAGGTCTACTGCAGTATCCACCTAAAGATAAAGGGTGAAGGAGATTTCCCGCTCCCCCTGGTTTGTACAGTAGTCTGGGTCTTAAATATAAGTAGTGGTTAAAAATGGCTATTCGGCTCAATCTAATAGTGTGTGCCGACGAAATTCCGCTAGACATTGAGTCTCAAGTTATTTCTCCTTTATTCAAAGTTGATTAGCCGAAATCGGCAGATACATATATAACCCTTAGCTGTATCACTAATCCATGCCTTTAAATTTATATGATAACATATCTTAGTTTTCTCTTTTCTATCCCACAAATCCATTTATTTTTAAAAAATATATTTTAAAAATAATATTTATAATTTTCAGCAAGTTAATAAAATACATCAATGAAAAGCGTTGGTTTAAATTTTTTTAAAAAATGTTTTAATATCTTTGACAAAATTTATAATACCAAAATAAAATTGACTATTTAAAAAAAAAAAATTAGTTAATATTTTATTTTACAAAGCAATTTTAGCTATAATCTCATTATAAAATATGGTATATTTATTATAGTATATATTACACTCACATAATATATAGTATAATAAAATAATAAATATCGGATTATATATAAAAATTATAAAAATATATATCAAATAAATGTAAACGACTCGCTATACAGAAATGTTAATATTTATTTTCGCTATAGTAGGACTAGGAAGTATTGATCTGCATCAGGCCTTAATTTTATAAGCCCCGCCCGACCCGAAATACTTTTTAAAAAAATTTGTCCGGCCTATCTTAACCAAGACTATTTTATTTGTCCAGAAAGACCCGACCTGAAATAAAAATTATTTGTATTTAAATAAATTTTAATATTTTTTTTTTGATTGTAAAAAAATAATACAAATAATATTGGCGCCATGTTTCTTGCAAGAATTTTAAAATGCATCAATTTATTTCACAAAATGGAATGATAGATATCATATTTAAAAATTTAAGCCCGACTTCATGCCTGTTTTAATATAAATCAGCTGGTGATACGCGATTTTGGTTTCCCTTAATAATTTTTTTTTATTATAAATGAAATTTTTTTTTAAAAAAAGGTAGAAGTTTTCATAAAATTTTAATGAAAATAGTTTATATAACGAAACCAAGATGGCTTGACACCAGCTGATTTGTATTGATAGGCATTTAAATGAATAAATCTTCAGGTTAGATATTATTATATGTGCCATTGATTCTATCGTCAATATTTTATCAAATAATCCCGCCATCTTGTATGCATTATTATAGAAGAAGCACTGAAATTATTATTTTTTTTTGAATTTATTATAGTAATAAAAAGGTATAAATAGGATTAAAGAGGGTATATTATTACAACACTACTTATTTCTTAATTAAGGAAATAGGTGTCACTGGAGAAGGAGAAAAAAAATCAATAAATAATCGCTTAATTTCGAAAAGGATTAATTGCCTATGCAATATTCCCTTTAAAAAAATATTTTTTTTTATAAGGGTCACCTTTTATATTATGTAAATGTATAAAATATAAATTATCATTTAGTTGATAAAAGAGTCGGTTATAATGTCAAAATAGAGGGAAATTATGTGCGAGAATTATATGATAAAGAGCAGAAACAAAGAACCATCTAATATTAGAACATCTGACCAGATGATAAAGGTGGATTAAAAAATATTAATATAATTCAAATGTGTAGATAGAATTTAAGTGGAGAAAGATGTTGGAGGTTTAGTGTAAATGTTCTTTCCGTCAATGTGTTATTCTTTTATTTTAGATTTTTGAGTGTCTTTTTTTTTTAATTTTAGAAATCTAATTTTATCGGAAATGTGTTTCATCATGTTTAGAGTAACCTACCCTATGAATTTCAGATAATTTATAGCATTTATTTTATATTCATAAACTATATTTTAATTCTTGTGAGAATTAGTGTTGTTAAATGGCTCGATTTGAGCTAAATTTTTAAAAAACGGCCAACTCCGGATTTTTGCAAGAAAAATATTGCCAAATCCTTCAGATTTCGCTAATAGATGTCCAAACCTTTGTTATGAACAAAATTTTCAGGCTTACGTTATTTTCTTTTGGATAAAATATTGAGTTAGCCGTTTTTAAAAATCAGCTCAAATTGAGCCGATTAACTACACTAGTAACAATTTATCGTTATATTATTTTAAAATTTCATGACAATTTTTCAATTTTTTTTTAGTAAAACTGACATGTATTACATTGCCATATGTAGACCTAATTCAAAAACAAATAATAAATCGAATAACGAATTATTTATATTCGATTCTTCGAATAATTTATATATTTGTAAATATATCAATCGAATAAGAGCCGTATTTTTATATGTAAATAAGAGGAAGGAAAATTATGAATTTTAGAATTTAAAAAAAATAAATTGTGTTATACTTTCATTTAAACTTACTTTATTTAAATATTTGTGATTATGATTATATTGCAGCTATATTGGATTTTATATTATTTAAGGGGTTTGACTAAACTGCAAATGCTAGGTAAAAATGGTTTTTATATATTCTTAATTACAATTTGGTATATTATACCTTTTAAAATTAAACTAAATTCAATGATTCTGGAATATCAAGGAATGGAGACTATCACGTTCAAATTTATTTTATCAGACTTTTACAAAAGCCGTTTATTTGAAATTTGTCATCTTCATCTAAACAGAACTCGATTTGTCACGTTGATTAAAATATTTTCTGAAAGCTAATCTACGCCGATGGTCATATCACGTATCATAATTTAGAGTAATAGCTTTCCGAATTTTTCTCTTCCTTGACTATAATATTTTTTATTCTTTTTCAAGTCAATAATGTATATTTTTTTAAATATATATATATATATATACATCTTCCTTCTTTGGTAATAAATTTTTAGATTGATTTGATTACAAGCTACTAATACAAAAAAATTTCATCCTTTTAAATCAAATTAAACATAATTAAAATTATAGGCTTTTTTTTAAAAAAAAATAATTAAATTTACTATTATTGTATCAATCAACACAATACTAGTGGACGGTTATAAAATTGTGTGGCAAACTTTAGTAAGCAAGTTTTATTTTTGAAATAATAAAATATATTGAATAATAAAAATGTTAAAATTTTTATCTTTTATGTTATATCTTAATTTGTCTATTCAAGTATGGCATATATAGTCGTCATGGCGTATAACAACTTTAATTGAATTTATATATATATTTTAACATTCGTAATTTGATGTTGAAAAGTTATAATTCTTATGATAAATTTTATTTATAAAGTGATAGAAAGTTAATATAAAATCATAAAATTTTGATTCTAGCTATTTGGGACGTTAACTGATTTTTAAATCAATTTTTATAATCCATAATGGTTTTTTTTTCTTTCTTCCTTTCTTTCTTTATTTTTTTTACAAAACTAATATCATATTTATATTAATGCTTTAGAAGTAATATATATTATTCATTTCACCGTGGATAATGATTTTAGTAGTTTTAGTTTGGATTGTTGTTTAGTTAATTATCAATAATATTTTTTAAATATATATTAACCTTACCCCATATCTGGCCACAAATTTCTGACCTTAACATAATAACGGGCAAAATATAATTGCAAAATTGGAGATTTCTATATGTCATCTAGCGGAATAATTATCTATTTCTAATTATTTGGAATACAATTATATAAAAATATAAAGATCTAAACCTTTTATTAATAGATTAAGTAAAATATAATTATTTATCTGTATTTCAATACTATTAAATATAGTTAAAACAACGGTTTGCCGGTTCAAAAGCTGTTTAGCTTAAGCTATAAAGCAATTAAGTATCAGAATTAAGTTAAACCAGGGCACAGCCCCAGAACTTAATTTTTTAAAAAATTTATTTTTATAATTATTTTCTTATTCTTCTTTTATTTTTTTTTAAAGTGTACTTTCTTTTTATTAATTTTTCTTTTAGGTTCTTTTAAGAAAGTTTTAGATTTGTTTTTACATTTAATTGGTTTTTGGTTTACCCATGTCCCCAGCCTTATAAATTTAAGATATGTACCATTATCGATATTGTCGGAGGAAAATGGAGTATTTTTTTAGGGGAAGGGGGACTCGTTTGCTATAAATTTAGACTCTTTGTTTTATTATAAAGAATTTTATAGAAAGTTATTAGTTAAAAACTGAATGGTATACTATAAAATTTTAAAAATGATGACAAAATGCTAAGTGCTAAGAAGAAGGAAAAGTAAAAGACTAAATGTGGAGATCTAAATCTTCAAGCCCATTATTTTTATTTTACATTATGG